ACCAATGAGGTTCATTCTCGTGTTACGCATCACGTTTGAGCTTCAGCGACAACCAATGAGGTTCATTCTCGTGTTACGCATCACGTTTGAGCTTCAGCGACAACCAATGAGGTTCATTCTCGTGTTACGCATCACGTTTGAGCTTCAGCGACAACCAATGAGGTTCATTCTCGTGTTACGCATCACGTTTGAGCTTCGGCAAGAACCAATGAGGTTCATTCTCGTGTTACGCAACACGTTTGAGCTTCTCCGACAACCAATGAGGTTCATTCTCGTGTTACGCAGCACGTTTGAGCTTCTCCGACAACCAATGAGGTTCATTCTCGTGTTACGCAACACGTTTGAGCTTCTCCGACAACCAATGAGGTTCATTCTCGTGTTACGCATCACGTTTGAGCTTCAGCGACAACCAATGAGGATCATTCTCGTGTTACGCATCACGTTTGAGCTTCGGCAACAACCAATGAGGTTCATTCTCGTGTTACGCATCACGTTTGAGCTTCAGCGACAACCAATGAGGTTCATTCTCGTGTTACGCATCACGTTTGAGCTTCAGCGACAACCAATGAGGTTCATTCTCGTGTTACGCATCACGTTTGAGCTTCGGCGACAACCAATGAGGTTCATTCTCGTGTTACGCATCACGTCTGAGCTTCGGCAACAACCAATGAGGTTCATTCTCGTGTTACGCATCACGTTTGAGCTTCAGCGACAACCAATGAGGTTCATTCTCGTGTTACGCATCACGTTTGAGCTTCAGCGACAACCAATGAGGTTCATTCTCGTGTTACGCATCACGTTTGAGCTTCAGCAAGAACCAATGAGGTTCATTCTCGTGTTACGCATCACGTTTGAGCTTCAGCGACAACCAATGAGGTTCATTCTCGTGTTACGCATCACGTTTGATCTTCAGCGAGAACCAATGAGGTTCATTCTCGTGTTACGCATCACGTTTGAGCTTCAGGAAGAACCAATGAGGTTTGTGGCTAAACCGCTCAATTCATATGGATAATTTTTAGATCTCCTCATGAACTTTTTGAAATATCAAAGTGGTAGTTGCATAGTCTGTTAATTGAGGGACAGAAAAGATCTTAATTTATGTTCCGAAGACAAACTCAAGTTTACGGGTTGGGGGTAGGGTTGGGTATCATTTGAATTTGAACGATTCCGATTCCTTGTTTCGATTCCGGTTCCTAACGATTCTCGATTCCGATTCTTTTAAGAGGCAAAAAAGTTTAGCTAACCTTGCTAACCAACGGCCTTTCTGAAGGAAATACTCCTTCTGTAAAAATACTCCTTTTGTCACAAATTTTGCCGAGATTTCGTTATTTTTAGAAAAGTGGATCGCCGACGTAAGCTACTCATGTTCGACTCGCGTGGTTATGCCAACACTTCCGGTAGACGCTTCTTCGTTGGAGTTGTTCAGCAGTTTCTTCTTCCACTCGGCGGACTGTGAATATCGAAACTTTTTTTTGTTGTTGTTGTGAATATCGAAACTAGGAATCGAAATTTTAACTTTTGAACGATTCCGGGAAAAACGAAAAGTTAGTCCCGGTTCCAATCGATACTCGATTTTTGATACCCAACCCTAATTGGGAGTTGCCTTTACAAGATTTAAAACCCAAATGTCCTGAAAGTGCTAAATTGTTGACTATTTGTATGAGTAAAAAGTGTGTCCAGCATAGCTTTGATATTACACAAAATGGCAACAGAAACGCTTTTCTAAAACAGCTTTCCTTAAAACACTACTGGTCTGAAGAGGGTTTTTAATAACGTGATTTTTTTCTCGCTTTAATCAAAAGAATGTGTATGAATATTCACATTCATACATTAACTCAATCATCAGTTATGGTAAACGTAAACTCAAGAATGTTCGCTTGACATGCAAGAACCAATGAGGTTCATTCTCGTGTTACGCATCACATTTGAGCTTCAGGAACCAATGAGGTTCATTCTTGTGTTACGCATCACATTTGAGCTTCAGCGAGAACCAATGAGGTTCATTCTCGTGTTAATCATCACGTTTGAGCTTCAGGAAGAACCAATGAGGTTTGTGGCTAAACCGCTCAATTCATATGGATCATTTTTAGATCTCCTCATGAACTTTTTGAAATATCAATGTGGTAGTTGCATAGTCTGTTAATTGAGGGACAGAAGAGATCTTAATTTATGTTCCGAAGACAAACTCAAGTTTACGGGTTGGGGGTAGGGTTGGGTATCATTTGAATTTGAACGATTCTGATTCCTTGTTTCGATTCCGTTCCTAACGATTCTCGATTCCGATTCTTTTAAGAGGCAAAAAAGTTTAGCTAACCTTGCTAACCAACGGCCTTTCTGAAGGAAATACTCCTTCTGTAAAAATACTCCTTTTGTCACAAATTTTGCCGAGATTTCGTTATTTTTAGAAAAGTGGATCGCCGACGTAAGCTACTCATGTTCGACTCGCGTGGTTATGCCAACACTTCCGGTAGACGCTTCTTCGTTGGTGTTGTTCAGCGGTTTCTTCTTCCGCTCGGCGGACTGTGAATATCGAAACTTTTTTTTGTTGTTGTTGTGAATATCGAAACTAGGAATCGAAATTTTAACTTTTGAACGATTCCGGGAAAAACGAAAAGTTAGTCCCGGTTCCAATCGATACTCGATTCTCGATACCCAACCCTAATTGGGAGTTGCCTTTACAAGATTTAAAACCCAAATGTCCTGAAAGTGATAAATTGTTGACTATTTGTATGACTAAAAAGTGTGTCCAGCATAGCTTTGATATTACACAAAATGGCAACAGAAACGCTTTTCTAAAACAGCTTTCCTTAAAACACTACTGGTCTGAAGAGGGTTTTTAATAACGTGATTTTTTTCTCGCTTTAATCAAAAGAATGTGTATGAATATTCACATTCATACATTAACTCAATCATCAGTTATGGTAAACGTAAACTCAAGAATGTTCGCTTGACATGCAAGAACCAATGAGGTTCATTCTCGTGTTACGCATCACATTTGAGCTTCAGGAACCAATGAGGTTCATTCTTGTGTTACGCATCACATTTGAGCTTCAGCGACAACCAATGAGGTTCATTCTCGTGTTACGCATCACATTTGAGCTTCAGCGAGAACCAATGAGGTTCATTCTCGTGTTAATCATCACGTTTGAGCTTCAGGAAGAACCAATGAGGTTTGTGGCTAAACCGCTCAATTCATATGGATCATTTTTAGATCTCCTCATGAACTTTTTGAAATATCAAAGTGGTAGTTGCATAGTCTGTTAATTGAGGGACAGAAGAGATCTTAATTTATGTTCCGAAGACAAACTCAAGTTTACGGGTTGGGTATCATTTGAATTTGAACGATTCTGATTCCTTGTTTCGATTCCGGTTCCTAACGATTCTCGATTCAGATTCTTTTAAGAGGCAAAAAAGTTTAGCTAACCTTGCTAACCAACGGCCTTTCTGAAGGAAATAATCCTTCTGTAAAAATACTCCTTTTGTCACAAATTTTGCATTTTGCCGAGATTTCGTTATTTTTAGAAAAGTGGATCGCCGACGTAAGCTACTCATGTTCGACTCGCGTGGTTATGCCAACACTTCCGGTAGACGCTTCTTCGTTGGTGTTGTTCAGCGGTTTCTTCTTCCGCTCGGCGGACTGTGAATATCGAAACTTTTTTTTGTTGTTGTTGTGAATATCGAAACTAGGAATCGAAATTTTAACTTTTGAACGATTCCGGGAAAAACGAAAAGTTAGTCCCGGTTCCAATCGATACTCGATTCTCGATACCCAACCCTAATTGGGAGTTGCCTTTACAAGATTTAAAACCCAAATGTCCTGAAAGTGCTAAATTGTTGACTATTTGTATGAGTAAAAAGTGTGTCCAGCATAGCTTTGATATTACACAAAATGGCAACAGAAACGCTTTTCTAAAACAGCTTTCCTTAAAACACTACTGGTCTGAAGAGGGTTTTTAATAACGTGATTTTTTTCTCGCTTTAATCACGTAAAGATGCAAGTATGACTCTGTGTTTTACTCAATGTAGATTGGCATTCGATTACAGCTCATGTGTGTTCACAGGTCTGTCGGTGTACAGTAAACTCTTCCACGTTCAGGGCTCCAAGAACAGATGAACGAGGCCGAAGGTCAACCGTACCAATCAGCTGCTCTCTGGGATACGTTCCTCACCCTCCAGCTGCTCACAACACGAACATGAGGAGTTCAGCTCTGGACTTTACCCGTTTCTCTCTTTATACTGTCTTCTGATAAACACCATTTCCCCTCAAATGCCTCCTAACGGGCCTTGTGTGTCTTTATGAGTGCGTGATCGGATTTTTCTCATGCGTGCAGTTGTCCAGGCTTCATTTTCACCCCACAACTGATGCCATGTGAAGAGCGAGTGGACTGACGACTCGAGACAGCTGGAGCTCGAGCGCACGGAGCCAAACACACACCTGTCCATCCATGTTTACACGTACACACAGAAGATTTCAACCTTCGTCACTGCTCGTTAATGAACTTCTGTGGAAGTGCCTCATTCAGGTGTGATGATGAACCACGTGTCCAGGTAAAGGTGATGATTTTCTGTAAAACTAATAATTACAATCTCGGCAATTTTTTGACCATTTTGATTTTAGTTGAACGCCTCACTTTTATGACCTAGCCTAAATCACAGCACCTCATTCATGCAACAGAAACAGAACAAATTTCTCACAAATCGTCACTTTGGGTTGAATGTTACAGCTGATGTAAACTCGTCTGCAAGATTGACCTTAATGTTTATTTTAGTTCACACTGTATTTGTATGTTGTTTTCTCTCCTGAATTGACTTGAATTTCCTCTCATTTTATGCACGACCAGAGCAATGAGACTCGATTGTATGGTTCAGTTGTATCAGTAAACTGGAAGAAATGTCAGCCACCTTTTGTGATTATTTTTGCGTTGAGAAAAAAAGCGATGAAAATAACAAGCTGTCAGCATTTTTAATCGTCAAGAAGAATTCGAGACAGACTTCAAACATCATCAACAGCTCTTTTTGTCCGAGACGGTTTAATTAAAAAAGTGTTTTCAGGAGTAATAGCAGTAAAAACTTTAGCAGTTTGTGTCGGCTTCACTGAAGAGCTAAAAATCAAAAGTCAAGTCATATTTCTTTCCAGCATGTTTGTATTAACAATATCAGTGACACCGTCACGTTAGACGAACAGTGTCGATTGCTGTAGTACACACTAAAATCTTCCGTTGGGGAAATTGAGTTAGGTTATACAGAAACCATCAGCTGATCCAGCACGTGTCGTCCTCGGGACAGATGTTACGAAGCTTTGCGTTGCCGTTTCAGAGTTCAGAAATGGCACGAGGTTTGACCTGAAAAGCTGACCAAAAATTACACAATACAAAGTCACTTCAAACATCAAAGTTCGAGGGATCGTGGGGTCGTCTGATGGAGAAGCCTCTGGCTCCTGGGTTTGTGTGAAGGATGAACAGAGGTATTCGTTCAGAGTCCAGTTCCTTTGGGCCCTCGAGGGTCTGGAGGCCCTTCAGCTGCACTTGCAGGATTTGACGATCATGTTGGAGAGCTGCTCCACTTTAGGTACCCGTCCCACGTAGTAGAGGATGGTGAGCGGCTCCAGGTCTTGGGGAACGCAGCAGGGGGACGCGGACGCCTCGGGGTTCAGCGTGTTGTACAGGCTCAGCAGCTGCAGACACATCAGGAACATCAGCTCAGGTACACCACACACATCGTTTACACATTAAAGGGTTAGTTCACCCAAAAATGAAAATTAAGTCATTAATTACTCACCCCCATGCTGTACCAACCCCGTAAGACCTTCGTTCGTCTTCGGAACACAAATGAAGATATTTTTGATTAAATTTGAGAGCTGTATAACTACCACATTGGCTCCTAAAGGACTGCCTCTTGACGGCCCAGAAAGTCAATGAAGAAAATGTTTAAATATCCCAAGTGACTACCGTGGCTCAACTATATGTTTATCAAGCGACGAGACTACTTTTTGTGCGAAAAAACAAACAAAAATAACGAGTTTATTCGACTATTTCTTTTCTTCCTTGTAGGCCAGAACGAGACTTCCTTAGATTTCCACGACGCATGCGCGAGAATTGCGATCTACTCACACCAGCTTACACTACTTCAGATCGCAATTCTCGCGCATGCGTCGTGGAAATCTATAAGGAAGTCTCGTTCTGGCCTACAAGGAAGAAAAGAAATAGTCGAATAAACTTGTTATTTTTGTTTGTTTTTTCGCACAAAAAGTATTCTCGTCGCTTGATAAACTTATAGTTGAGCCACGGTAGTCACTTGGGATATTTAAACATTTTCTTCATTGACTTTCTGGGCCGTCAAGAGGCAGTCCTTTAGGAGCCAATGTGGTAGTTATACAGCTCTCAAATTTAACCAAAAATATCTTCATTTGTGTTCCGAAGACGAACGAAGGTCTTACGGGGTTGGTACAGCATGGGGGTGAGTAATTAATGACTTAATTTTCATTTTTGGGTGAACTAACCCTTTAAAGGGAACGTTCACCCGGAAATTTGAATTCTGGGACCATCACAATTAGCAGATATTAAAGGGATAGTTCACTTTGAAATAAATTTTTGGTGTTTGTTTCCACAGTATTTTTTAATTTTGATATTTTTAGGTCAAACCGTTGTTGTCTGTCAGTCATATAATGGAGGTCTATGGTCACCACCTCAAAGAGCAGCACAGAGAAGTCCAAATTAAACATGATTTAATGACTCGTAAATGTAAGTACACACTGATGGTCAAGACACGAAACGAGCGGTTTGTGTGAGAAAACGAACAGTATTTATATCGTTTTTACCTCTTGTAATCACAGCCACGTCCAAGTGATCTGAGGACGCTTTGCGGCTGTGGTTACAAGAGGTAAAAACGATATAAACACTGTTCGTTTTCTCACACAAACCGCTCGTTTCGTGTCTTAGGCCGTCAATGTGTACTTACATTTACGAGTCATTAAATCATGTTTAATTTGGACTTCTCTGTGCATGTTCTTTGAGGTGGTGACCATATACCTGCATTACGGTTTGGAAACGACTTAAGGAATTAATGGCACAAATTCCCTTTAAAAATGAATGGCAAAATAACCGTGTCAAATAAATGTTGCAAAGGTCATCAAGTCATGTGAAAGTAAAATTATTAAATGTTTTTGAAACAAAAAGCTTCTTGAACTGGTAAGGCGAAATAAAATGGCCTGTCGAATAGAATAGGTTGTATTTTTAAAGGTGAATATGGATTATTGCATTTTTAACAATGAAAATGTGTGTGAAATGTTTTGAAGTGAAATATTCACAGCTTAAATATACAACCGTGCTGAATTTCAGCCCATAAAAATGCAATGCAAGCAGGGTTAATGCAATGCATATTTTATTAAAGCTGCAGTCCGCAACTTTTCCTCTTTGTCGCCATCTCTGTTCGAAATCTGTAATTGCAGTTATTCGCAGAATTATCAGCTTTACGTGGGTTGTAAATCAGCGTGAAACAGCGCGGATGAACACACAGTGTTTAGAGGCGAGTGCTGCTGTGTGGATACTGTCATACACAATCACAGATTCACTTTTTGAAAGTTTGACCAACATAAGAATTTTCACCGGAAGAAGTAACGGACAGCAGCTTTAAAGCTTTTTTGTTTTAAAAACGTTGGCATTGTTTTCCTTCCATAAGGTGTCCTTTATTAATTGAATTGAAAAGAGCGGGTTGGTTCTCTCACCGAGCTGTGTGTGGTGTCGGCGCTGCGCAGGTACGGACACGGGCCGGAGCAGAAGTTGGCGTGATACCCTTTGGGCTCGTGGATCCACCGCCAGCCCAGATCCTGCCGGAAGTCGATGTACAGCTCCCGGACGCAGCAGTTCTCCTCGTAGTTCCTGAAAGCAGAAGGAAAACACACATCACGTCTCTTTCTCTGTTGTATTCGGCTATAGTATCTAACGTTAGATGTTTGTTTTGATAGAGCGTTTGACTGCCTGTTGCTATGGTTACTCACAGCTGTTGTAGGCAGCGCATTTATTTATTAATTTCGAATGGCAAACAGGCAGTTTCACCAGAACTACTTTACTAAGTGTCCTTTATCACTTTTTAACGGAAATCAGAATCGAGTATTCACCCAGACCATGGTATAATACCATCTACGGTTTAGACCGACCTATTAATCAGTTCCTCCAAAGGAGTTCCTAGAACTCAAACCGTTCCTGCGTTGCGAACACGCCAAACTCCGGGAGCTTCCGCCAGCAGTTCCAGGAACTGTGGAAAGGTTCCTCCGGTGCGACTTCTATTTGGGCCTTATAAACATGTCAGAGTCTTTTAAAGCTCCGAGATTCCACTGTAAGGCGTGTCACTCTTTCCCTCCTGGATCCGGCCCAGGTGTGGAGAGCTCACGGAGAGACACACACACTAAAGAGCCAGCGCACTACTTAGCATACTGGGACAAATCTAAACTTGCAAGCTCTTGCAGACGCTTCCAGCCGACAGGTGCCAATTAAAAGGTTCATTCTTACAGACACATGCAGTTCCTGGAATGTGAATTTGAATGCCGTTTTTAAGAAGAAAGTGGATCAAATTCAGCTTTCAGAATAACACTTACACTTATGCATTTGCCAGACGCTTTTATCCAAAGTATATATGAAGAGTTCAGATGCAAAAGCCTCTAAATGCCATTTGAAATTTTCTTCTTTAATGATGATTTTTATCAAACTTTTATATTTAAGTTCAGTAATTTCACTTAAATGGCAATGATAATTACCTATTAATTGTTATTTAAGTGAATTTACTGAACTTAAATATAAAAGTTTGATAAAAATCATCATTAAAGAAGAAAATTTCAAATGGCATTTAGAGGCTTTTGCATCTGAACTCTTCATATTTTATCAGTTCATGCGTTCTCTGGGAATCGAACCCACGACGTTGGCGATGCTAGTGCTAAACTGCTGTATCTTCAGAAGAACTTTCTAGCACTCGGTATCAGTTAATTGTAAGTCGCTTTGGATAAAAGTGTCAGCTAAACGAATAAGTGTGATGAGGTCGAAAGGCTCACGAGAAGCAGTAGTTGGTGTCCAGGGCCCGTTTGCGTCGCCTGGAGGAGGGCAGGACGTCCAGCCGGTGCGGAGGCAACATCATCAGGATCAGATGAGGGAGAAGCTGCTCCTTCTGCTCCTTCTGCTTCTTCAGTCGACCCAAATCCCATCGGTTCTGCTCGTCGTACTCGCCGTCCACCCCTGAGGACACAGAAGCACACACACGCTCACATCACAAACCTTCTAGTCTGGATCTAATAATGTTTTCGGGAAGATATTGACGTTCAGTTCGGTTGTGTGTCAATCCAATGTGACTCAGAGAGAGGAACGCAAAACTTAAAGTCCCCCTGTGGTGTAAACATCCAGCTTTTAATGTTGTTTATGTGTGTATGTGGTGTTTTTAATCCGCTTTAACACACACCATGTGTAAGTTGATAAGTGGACAGCATTGCTGAGTGTTTCCTCCTTAAAACTGCAGTGAACCAAAGACAGTCTCAAAAACACGCTTTGAAATCGCTGGTGTTTCTGACGTCACATTCTTACGGATTTATTATAATTCTTAAAGAGGACCTACGTATATGCCCTTTCACTCAGTCTTGATGTGTTTCAGGCTCTCCTAGAGCAGGTTTTACTGCTTGAATGTTGATTATTCTCCTCAAATTCTCCATTTTTGCGGCTCCTCTCTTCCCAGTCTGTCAGTAACGCTCTGTTCACTTCCTGTCTCTATGAAGCCCCTCCTTTTAAAAGCACACTGTGCTCTGATTGGTCGGCTGGAGCAGTGTGTTGTGATTGGTCGAGCGTTTCGAGTGTGTTTGTGAAATGTCCCGAACCGCCAGTTTAACACACTACTAACTATCTCAACCAGGCCCCGCCCCTTTATTCGGCGCATTAATTATCATAATGAGGAATATTGTGACGTGTTCGTTCCCAAAAGAAACTCAAGACCACAATGGAGGCGTTTCAGGAGTTCAGAAACACGAATATCTGGAGCTTTTTCATGCTCTAACAGCAACATCACACACTAAAGACAGATGCACATGGACAAAAGCACTTTAACTTCTTTATGAAGGAGATTTTCCTGAATCAGACCGCCGTCTCCTCAAGCATCTGCGTATTCAATCTGTGTGTGATAGCAAAAGCAGCTCAGGTCCCAGGAGAGGCGTTGCCAATAGATACGGACACCCCTATTTCATTGAGGGCCATGAGTCTGCGTGCCCGCAGTCCAGCCGGAGCGTTCCCGAAACCCCAGACACCCCCCGGGGCCCCCGGCTGAGCGAGAGCCCGACGCGAGCGCAGACGCGGTTATCTCATCAGAACGTGTGCGGTGAGGACGAGCTGACGGGGGGAAGCTGTGTGGGATTCATGAGTAGTGCGCCGCAGAGAGAAGAGACTAGAGTAGCTGAGTGGATTCACAAAAATCGAATTAGATCAAGGTCCATGCACAGCCTGGAAGGTGCGGGTAGAAAGCAGGAACACATGTAAATGACAATAACGAGAACACTCTACCGCACACTGTTGACTTTACTCTTTTATTTTATTCAAAGCCAACAACGCTTTTCACATATAGCATCCTCAGGTTCGCTTTGAATAAAAGTGTAAAGTCAACAGTGTGCGGAAGTGTTCTCTTTATTGTCATTTAAATTTTTAACCCAACGGTTGGGTTTTTATGGTGGGTTGTTTTAACCCAAATTTGGACAAAAAAATGGACAAATCCAACTGTTGGGTTAAATTTTACATTTTTAACCCAACGGTTGGGTTTGTCCATATTTTACCCAAATTTGGGTTGAAACAACCCAACCTTGCTGTGTAAACACACACTAAATGGGTAATGCTGGGTTGTTTTAACCCAAATTTGGACAAAAAAATGGACAAATCCAACTGTTGGGTTACATTTTTTAATCAAAATTTTAACCCAACGGTTGGGTTTGTCCATATTTTACCCAAATTTGGGTTGAAACAACCCAACCCTGCTGTCTAAACACACACTAAATGGGTAATGCTGGGTTGTTTTAACCCAAATTTGGACAAAAAAATGGACAAATCCAACTGTTGGGTTACATTTTTTAATCAAATTTTTAACCCAACGGTTGGGTTTGTCCATATTTTACCCAAATTTGGGTTGAAACAACCCAACCCTGCTGTCTAAACACACACTAAATGGGTAATGCTGGGTTGTTTTAACCCAAATTTGGGTAAAAAAAATGGACAAATGCAACTGTTGGGTTACATTTTTTAATCAAATTTTTAACCCAACGGTTGGGTTTGTCTATATTTTACCCAAATTTGGGTTGAAACAACCCAACCCTGCTGTCTAAACACACACTAAATAGGTAATGCTGGGTTGTTTTAACCCAAATTTGGACAAAAAAAATGGACAAATCCTACTGTTGGGTTAAATTTTTTAATCAAATTTTTAACCCAACGGTTGGGTTTGTCCATATTTTACCCAAATTTGGGTTGAAACAACCCAACCCTGCTGTCTAAACACACACTAAATGGGTAATGCTGGGTTGTTTTAACCCAAATTTGGGTAAAAAAAAATGGACAGATCCAACTGTTGGGTTACATTTTTTAATCAAATTTTTAACCCAACGGTTGGGTTTGTCCATATTTTACCCAAATTTGGGTTGAAACAACCCAACCCTGCTGTCTAAACACACACTAAATGGGTAATGCTGGGTTGTTTTAACCCAAATTTGGACAAAAAAATGGACAAATCCAACTGTTGGGTTACATTTTTTAATCAAATTTTTAACCCAACGGTTGGGTTTGTCCATATTTTACCCAAATTTGGGTTGAAACAACCCAACCCTGCTGTCTAAACACACACTAAATGGGTAATGCTGGGTTGTTTTAACCCAAATTTGGGTAAAAAAAATGGACAAATGCAACTGTTGGGTTACATTTTTTAATCAAATTTTTAACCCAACGGTTGGGTTTGTCTATATTTTACCCAAATTTGGGTTGAAACAACCCAACCCTGCTGTCTAAACACACACTAAATAGGTAATGCTGGGTTGTTTTAACCCAAATTTGGACAAAAAAATGGACAAATCCTACTGTTGGGTTAAATTTTTTAATCAAATTTTTAACCCAACGGTTGGGTTTGTCCATATTTTACCCAAATTTGGGTTGAAACAACCCAACCCTGCTGTCTAAACACACACTAAATGGGTAATGCTGGGTTGTTTTAACCCAAATTTGGGTAAAAAAAAATGGACAGATCCAACTGTTGGGTTACATTTTTTAATCAAATTTTTAACCCAACGGTTGGGTTTGTCCATATTTTACCCAAATTTGGGTTGAAACAACCCAACCCTGCTGTCTAAACACACACTAAATGGGTAATGCTGGGTTGTTTTAACCCAAATTTGGACAAAAAAAATGGACAAATCCAACTGTTGGGTTACATTTTTTAATCAAATTTTTAACCCAACGGTTGGGTTTGTCCATATTTTACTCAAATTTGGGTTGAAACAACCCAACCCTGCTGTCTAAACACACACTAAATGGGTAAGCCTGGGTTGTTTTAACCCAAATTTGGACAAAAAAATTGACAAATCCAACTGTTGGGTTACATTTTTTAATCAAATTTTTAACCCAATGGTTGGGTTTGTCCATATTTTACCCAAATTTGGGTTGAAACAACCCAACCCTGCTGTCTAAACACACACTATATGGGTAATGCTGGGTTGTTTTAACCCAAATTTGGACAAAAAAAATGGACAAATCCAACTGTTGGGTTAAATTTTTTAATCAAATTTTTAACCCAACGGTTGGGTTTGTCCATATTTTACCCAAATTTGGGTTGAAACAACCCAACCCTGCTGTCTAAACACACACTAAATGGGTAATGCTGGGTTGTTTTAACCCAAATTTGGACAAAAAAAATGGACAAATCCAACTGTTGGGTTACATTTTTTAATCAAATTTTTAACCCAACGGTTGGGTTTGTCCATATTTTACCCAAATTTGGGTTGAAACAACCCAACCCTGCTGTCTAAACACACACTAAATGGGTAATGCTGGGTTGTTTTAACCCAAATTTGGGTAAAAAAAATGGACAAATGCAACTGTTGGGTTACATTTTTTAATCAAATTTTTAACCCAACGGTTGGGTTTGTCCATATTTTACCCAAATTTGGGTTGAAACAACCCAACCCTGCTGTCTAAACACACACTAAATAGGTAATGCTGGGTTGTTTTAACCCAAATTTGGACAAAAAAATGGACAAATCCTACTGTTGGGTTACATTTTTTAATCAAATTTTTAACCCAACGGTTGGGTTTGTCCATATTTTACCCAAATTTGGGTTGAAACAACCCAACCCTGCTGTCTAAACACACACTAAATGGGTAATGCTGGGTTGTTTTAACCCAAATTTGGGTAAAAAAAAAATGGACAGATCCAACTGTTGGGTTACATTTTTTAATCAAATTTTTAACCCAACGGTTGGGTTTGTCCATATTTTACCCAAATTTGGGTTGAAACAACCCAACCCTGCTGTCTAAACACACACTAAATGGGTAATGCTGGGTTGTTTTAACCCAAATTTGGACAAAAAAAATGGACAAATCCAACTGTTGGGTTACATTTTTTAATCAAAATTTTAACCCAACGGTTGGGTTTGTCCATATTTTACCCAAATTTGGGTTGAAACAACCCAACCCTGCTGTCTAAACACACACTAAATGGGTAATGCTGGGTTGTTTTAACCCAAATTTGGGTAAAAAAAAAATGGACAAATCCAACTGTTGGGTTACATTTTTTAATCAAATTTTTAACCCAACGGTTGGGTTTGTCTATATTTTACCCAAATTTGGGTTGAAACAACCCAACCCTGCTGTCTAAACACACACTAAATGGGTAATGCTGGGTTGTTTTAACCCAAATTTGGGTAAAAAAAATGGACAAATGCAACTGTTGGGTTACATTTTTTAATCAAATTTTTAACCCAACGGTTGGGTTTGTCCATATTTTACCCAAATTTGGGTTGAAACAACCCAACCCTGCTCTCTAAACACACACTAAATGGGTAATGCTGGGTTGTTTTAACCCAAATTTGGACAAAAAAATGGACAAATCCAACTGTTGGGTTACATTTTTTAATCAAAATTTTAACCCAACGGTTGGGTTTGTCCATATTTTACCCAAATTTGGGTTGAAACAACCCAACCCTGCTGTCTAAACACACACTAAATGGGTAATGCTGGGTTGTTTTAACCCAAATTTGGGTAAAAAAAATGGACAAATGCAACTGTTGGGTTACATTTTTTAATCAAATTTTTAACCCAATGGTTGGGTTTGTCCATATTTTACCCAAATTTGGGTTGAAACAACCCAACCCTGCTGTCTAAACACACACTAAATGGGTAATGCTGGGTTGTTTTAACCCAAATTTGGACAAAAAAATGGACAAATCCAACTGTTGGGTTACATTTTTTAATCAAAATTTTAACCCAACGGTTGGGTTTGTCCATATTTTACCCAAATTTGGGTTGAAACAACCCAACCCTGCTGTCTAAACACACACTAAATGGGTAATGCTGGGTTGTTTTAACCCAAATTTGGGTAAAAAAAATGGACAAATGCAACTGTTGGGTTACATTTTTTAATCAAATTTTTAACCCAATGGTTGGGTTTGTCCATATTTTACCCAAATTTGGGTTGAAACAACCCAACCCTGCTGTCTAAACACACACTAAATGGGTAATGCTGGGTTGTTTTAACCCAAATTTGGACAAAAAAATGGACAAATCCTACTGTTGGGTTACATTTTTTAATCAAATTTTTAACCCAATGGTTGGGTTTGTCCATATTTTACCCAAATTTGTGTTGAAACAACCCAACCCTGCTGTCTAAACACACACTAAATGGGTAATGCTGGGTTGTTTTAACCCAAATTTGGGTAAAAAAAATGGACAAATCCAACTGTTGGGTTACATTTTTTAATCAAATTTTTAACCCAACGGTTGGGTTTGTCCATATTTGAAACAACCCAACACAGGGAGCATCCTAAACACAAACTCATAGTGGACGGAAATGTCTTCATTTGTACTGTAGCATCTCGTCACACAACTATAGAAGACTGAAACATTAAAATGGAAAATGTTTAAATGATAAATCTCTATATTCGGTTAGTTTCTACCATTTATTAATAATGATTTACAGTTTGTTCACTACTTACTATATACCTGAGCATTCAGTATTGTGCACTATAGCATACAGAAGGGGATGGACAAAAGTGCTGCATTTTATCCTTTAAACATGTGACTTGTCATGAAAATTCTACAATCCAAGATTGCCGCCACCATATGACGTCATAATATGTAAATTAGATGGGGACATTTAATCCCTACATAAACTTTGGGTCATCCTTAATATTTCTCTAATTTACAGAAAGTCTCTATCTTTTATCACGTTTAAGATATAGCCTTGTGAAATTAAGAAGTCAAAATCTAACGTTTTAGGAAAAAACCTCTGGCGCCTAAAGGGTTAACAATAATAATAAAAAAACCCTGATACATCATGTTTTTATTTTATTTGTATTATTGTGCCAAAAGGTGAATGCTAGGGCTGCACAATATATAGAAATTATTGAAATATCGCAATATGCATATCGCAACAGCTTGCAATAACGGGTCATGAACTAAAGACAAAGAGAATCGCTCGCTGCTCTCGGCTGAATAACTTCTGTAGCTTTAATAATAATCAATATAAATAATCCATACAGTGAAAACTAAGCAGTGTTTTATTTAAACATTTGATTATTCAGTTTGTTAACTCTAATGTGTCACAGCCTGTCGTCTGCACCAGTCTGTCTCGTCATCTGCACTACACTTCCCAGGATCCTCTTGTCTCTACTCCCGAACTCACTCCCTCATCAGCCACCTGTTCCTCGTCTTGTTTCATCATTTTCACCTGTTTGCACCTCGTTTTGGTTGATTCCTCTGTGTATTTAGTTCCTCCTCATTCAGTCTGTCATGGTCGGTCGTTGTATATGTTACCTCGTGTTGAGAGCGTATCCCTGCCTGTTTTATGTACCTGTTTGCTATTGTGAGTTAAGTAAAGTCTTTGAATTAGAGGTTTGCCTCTTCAGTCTGTCTTCCTCAGCCTGCACTCCACCACACCCCGTGACATAATGTAGTATAACCTGAACACACTGATGTTTAGTAACTCTTTTTACGCGACAGTAAAACACTGATGTCACTTCAGAAACTGCACACAAAAACAATGAGAACCACGTGTGTAGGTTAAATAATTGTAAATATATTTTAAAGTTAATTTAAATATTAACTTTAAAATCGCTCACCTCTGAACTTGACCTCCAGAACCTCGTTGACGTGCTCGACGATGTCTCCGTTGGGGCTGAACGTGTGGCACGGGCAGTGGACGCTGATCTCCAGGCCCAGGTTAGTCTCTGCGCCGTGCAACAACACACAGTTTCAAACACAAAACATCTGATTCCAGTGTGTATAGAAAAACATCGTCATTTTAACGGTAAAAGACCGTTAAATTAGTTAACAGAAAGTTTCCGTACTATGTACGGTAAATTACAGTGATAGATCTCTTAATGTAATTTTACTGTAAAATATCTTTAAATTTACAGTTTTTGAAAGTGAAAAAGGACATTATCAATGTATAATTTACAGTAAAAAAACGTAAATTGACATTCCCACAATTCATTGTGTGACACTTCACATTTTATGAATTTTTGCTGAAATAACTATGTTTTTTTGTCCATTAGGGTTTTATATTACATTTAATGTGGTTAAATTAATGTTTATTTAATTTTGTGATGAGCCTTGATTGATCATGTGACCCTCATCACTGCTGTGATTGGTGGTTGTCAGTGTTTTACCATGGTACAAAACAGATATCAATACTTCAGTGGGTTGGTATTAACACTATATCAGATAATAAAATACAGTTTATTGCTGTAAATTTTAAGTTAAGTCTGTAAAAACCAATAATGCTGCTACCATATTTTTGACGGTAAAGTTCAGCTGACGTTTTTTTACCGTAAAAATTACGGTTTTATTTTTTTCCAGTGTGCCAGTCACAGATATGAAACACTAACACTAATGATTTCAATAAGTGACTCTAAAACACTATTGTAACATGCATATATTTGTTCTGTCCATTGATCATAAGCGGTTCACTCATTCACAGTGACCTCGGTGTGTCTGATTTTGTGTCATGAGAAATGCGAACTCATCTTTGGTCATTCAATGAATCCATTTCCCACTTATCGACTGATTCCTACTTAGACTCTCGAAGTTTTTATTATTCAGACCAAATGATTCCTTCTTTAATAGATGACCGTACAGTATCAAATACAGTTGAGTTGTTTGTGTGAGTGTTTTTGGTGCACAAAACGGATCAAAATACACAATATGAAGCCGTCGCTTTGCACACACACGTTTTCACATTCGTTCTTGCTCTGCAAATGTTCTCACCAATTATTTTTTAAGTCAGAAAGACATATTCTTCATTAGGCATTCATTTAATTCAAGTTGATTATACAAAACAATTTGAGTTACAACAAATAATTGATGATTAGGAAATGACACAATTATTGGTATGATTAGTAAATTCATACGCACACTGGAAAACTATGTAATACAGAGAAAAATTTTCAACTTATTTTAATGGATAATTCGACTGGAACATCATCAAACGCTTGTGTAGTGAGTTTATGAGTTTAAGTTGTAGATAAAACTAAAATTATTGTTGCCTGTTTTACAAGAAAAATACTATTTCATTGTTCCTACTTCAAAATTGCATGTTTAATAAAATGTTTCTTTGCACATTTTTGTACAAATTGTAGTTAAAATTGTCCTACACCAATTTTTTTTGGACATATTTACATTTTCAGACAATGAATGATATATTAATGCATTAGTTTATATAGTTGGTGTTCCTGTGGTCAGCTGTGGTGGACGCTCGCTCACCTCTGTGCATGAGCCACTCGCGGATGGTCTCGGTGACGTCGAAGGAAACCCACTCCGGCGTTCCTTTAGTGAGAACGTTCTTGCCGCCGATGTAGCGCTGCTTAGCGATGTGCTCATCGGGACGAAGAATCTGCAACACACGGGTTTGACCATCAGTTTAAAGTGCCGTCAGAACTTCAAAAACCGACAGGTTTCCTCAACGCTCAAACTAGCGCTGTCACTTTACGTTCGGGAATTGATTGCGCAATTGATCGGACCAACCAACACAAATTTCGAAAACAAAAATAGGGAATCCATTTTAATGGCCTTTTGTGTGTTAGGTGGACAGATCAATACAGCACACCCCAGACAGCAAACTGACATTGAATCAACGTGGAAACGACGTCTCTCATGACATCGAAACAACGTTGATTTTGCTCATCGAATTTACGTTGAACCAACGTCAGACGCGGCATTCTTCAAAGCTAAATGAAAATCGAAAATTGGTTTGCTTTCATAACGTTGAAACAACGCATTGATTTCAAGTTGATTTTCCGTTCGTTTTGAAAGAATGACGCGTCTGACGTTGGTTCAACGTTAATTCGATGAGCAAAACAATGTCAGATCAACGTTGTCTCGATGTCATATTTCCACGTTGATTCAATGTCAGTCTGCTATCTGGGGCAGAACATGTAGGATGCTGGAAAATAACAATAGCTGCGTCCGAAATCGAATACTTCCCTACTATATAGTATGCGAAAAACGGTACGCGAGCAGAGTAGTACGTCCGAAATCATCAAATTGGAAAAACAGTAGGCGAAAAGTACCCGGATGACCTACTACTTCCGGCGAGATTCTGAAGTGCGCATACAATGGACACTTTACTATCCCATGATGCCACGGGAGAGGATTTGTCGTTGTTATATTTGAAAATGGCGGTAACCATAGACGCGACTGTAACGTTAGGAGATAAACACAGATAAACTCTATTGATTCATTCATGTTTATTTATCGATGGTAACATCACAAGTAAATAAAAATCAACATCTGTCATTGTTCGTAGGGGTTGTGTTTGTGTTTTATGAGGTAAAATTTATTAGGTAAATAAATGTTATTTGAGTAATTCCGCAAAAGGCGTAATCTGCACGCAGCTGACCGACGCCTCCTCTTGATTGGCGGTGTTGACAGCGTATGTCACTCGACAACAACATGGCGCATGTAGTGCGTCCGGACTCATTCATACTACCCGTATTCATACTATATAGACAGACTGATCTCATGAAGTAGCGTGTGTATGACACGCCAATTCGTATTTCCATTTTTGGCGTGCTATCAAGAAGACGCATAATCGCTTTTCAGCGTGTTTATGAACGCCGTTGACTTAACGTTATTACTGTATATATAAATATGACTTACCTCAACCCCGTCCCTAAACCTACCCGTCACTGGGGTTAATAACATTTATGACTGTTCCCCTACCATCCTAGGAAAGAAAAAGATCGCTCCCCAGATGTAGCTCTATTTTGCTTCGTTTCGCGCGGACATTTAACGGCGTGTACATACACGCAGAATCACTCGGACGTTAATGGCGTAGACATACACGGATACACGCGGATAGCTCAAAATGCGTAGAGATAACACGCCACTTGACTCGAAAGTGGCGTGCATGTTTACGCAAAAGTCATGATGTCATGTTGATATAGAACATACTTTTTTAACTCTTTCCCCGCCAAACACGGAATTTTCCGTGTTTAATGAAAAAACGCATCTGCGCCAAACACGGAATTTTCCGGGTATCCGTGTTTTAGGTGGTATACGGTAAGGAAGACCTGCGCGCATGTCCTGAATGATTGCGCAACTCTTTGTTTAGAGAAACAGATTGCAATCGTCTCAAACAGTGGAGTAGTGAGAATGTATCAGACAGACAATGCAGAGGTATATGGCTGAAGTACTGGAGGTTAATGGACTCGGAGTCCGATCACTCTTTATTTGATAATTCTGAATCTGATCGGGACGAAGTAGTCAGTGAGAGAGATGCACATGTTCATGCTAGCCATGGACGTGCCGCAGATAGATCGTATAATATTATGACACTATAATATGTATGTGTGTGTGCAGGCATTTATGCGTGGCTGTCTAAATATGAAGGTGTAATTGTCAAATTATTTCTCTCTTTGTGCACATTTACCACATTGTAATATGTATTTGTGTGTGTGTGTGTGTGTGTGTGTGTGTGTGTGTGTGTGTCTAGGCCTGTTTATTGTAATTCCAATTATTCATCATTCACAGGTAGAACACAGAGAGGCAGAGGCAGAAGTTTTATTGCAAAAGTTACATTTCCCTTACATCCTGGGAAATTTGATATATTTTACATTTATTTTATGTTTTTAATTTATTTTGGAAAGTTTTATATATGAAGGAAACAACATCTGAATGTATTCTGCTTTTAAATGCACTTGTTTGATAAAAACACCTTTTTCTCAGTTTTTTGTCCAAAATGTTGTGTTTTTGACAAAACCTACCTCTGTTCAAGAGGCAATAAAAAAAGAACAGATGAAGATAAAATAAAAACGTTTTTTTTGCCTAAAAGCAGAGGCTCAGATCTTTATTTTTATATATATCATCTTCATATATTCATGGAAGAAAATATTCAGCGGGGGCATTCAAATTTAGCGAAAATCATCAAAAACCCTGGCGGTGGCTGGCAACTTTTTTTTAAAACGCTGGCGGGGAAAGAGTTAACGGTCGCGAAGTACGTTCTTTTTTAACTATAGTACCTACTCGCATAGTACGCCATTTTGGACGCAGCAAATGTCTTTTCTTTTCACCAAATGATTTTTAATATTAGCTATTACTGCAATGCAAGTGAACAAGCACACAAACGTTATTTGTTGCGTAGTGACGTGTGTGTGTGTGTTCAAGTAAACCAGAAATGCACAGATTCTGCGATACACTGTATTTAATATATCATGAGGATCACGAGTTGCGTATTTGCGCTAAATCCGCTCAGATTCGTCTTACACGAACTTCCCAGCAAAGTGAGTAAACATAGAAACACGCCAGATTGGCTCGTGATTGGACAGCGTTTCCCGCCAAAGTTCATTTTTCCCACATTTGGCGAGTCGAGTGTTAATCTCAATCCCTGAATGTTGCGCTCCTGTTTGTCATTGTGCTGAAACTTCAGCAATAAATCATCAGAAATATTGCTGACTCAAGCGCCTCTTTACGCTCGTCCTAACGCCTGTTAGGTGTCCGTGGATTTGCCTGTATTTGGTGTTGAAAATGGAAACGTCTTTAGATGGAAAATCGATTTTACAATCAATTCAATGAACACTTATGACTGGATTTTGTCACAAAAGTGACATCTCTAGAGTGAACAGCCCTTTAAGAACGAGAAAACATTTCAACATGGAAAATAATGGCACGCATGCGCTGGAAGAGAACACACACTCTCTCCTGCACATGTACAGACAGACAGAGATGAATCCAGACGACGACGCGGCCCGAGGCCAAACGCTCATGGAAAAACTGACTGGTGGAGATCCATAATTCTGTACGACTCTCACACACACTGATGAAGAGCAGCCTGACTCTTCATCACGTGCACTGCTCTGATTGACAGGTGTGTTTAAATAGAGGTGAAGATTCAAAGTCAGAACCTGTTCCAATATCGTAAAATACTGGATCATTTCCATGATGTCGACGGCACTAAAAGCCTCCCTGCTGTCTAAACACACACTACATGGGTAATGCTGGGTTGTTTCAACCCAAATTTGGACAAAAAAATGAACAAATCCAACTGTTGGGTTACATTTTTAATCAAATTTTTAACCCAACGGTTGGGTTTGTCCATATTTGAAACAACCCAACACAGGGAGCATCCTAAACACAAACTCATAGTGGACGGAAATGTCTTCATTTGTAGCATCTCGTCACACAACTATAGAAGACTGAAACATTAAAATGTCATAATTATGACATGAAATAATGTTAATTAAGACCCCTTACATTTCTAAAGAACAAGGCAAATTTGATTTCTCATGTCATGACCCCTTTAAAAGGTTCAGTTGTGTTATATTAAAGTCCCCCTGTGGTGTAAATCCAGCGTTTAATGTTGTTTATGTGGTGTTTTTAATCCGCTTTAACACACACCGTGTGTAAGTTGATAAGTGGACAGCATTGCTGAGTAAAAAACTGCAGTGAACCAAAGACAGTCTCAAAAACACGCTTTGAAATCGCTGGTGTTTCTGACGTCACAAATGACCAATAAGATCAACGTGTGATCGTCAACCAAAGTGAGTGAGTGGAGGCGGGGCTCATTTGCATATTCATAGAACCACGCATACTAAATGAGGCAAGGGTGTCGAGTTACATTCAAGGTATTTTAAGGCATGAAGAAGGAAAACACTTTTAATTGTTATTTTGGTGAGTTTAAAGGGATAAAATGATGAACTACAGACCTGTAGGGTCCAGATAAAATGGTCCCGCTACAGCTAGCATCCGGTGAGAGCGTGAGCGGCCCACGCCAGCAGATCCGGGCCAGAAACACACACTCGGCCCGTGACCCGCCGCTCTGACGGGACCGACACCTTCACCCGATCGGGCTGGCGGGGGTAAACTGAGCCAGAGGACGACCCCTATAGAGTATATACTGACCGCTCGCTGGAGGTGGGAGTGAGTCAGGGTTTATGCTGCGGTTAGAAGCGCCGGCATGTGAAAGTAAAGCTCTGAGTTTCCCAGAATGCCTCTTTTGTTCGGTTGCAATTGTGCAAATGTTCTTCTGTGTAATCCATCAGCACCTGGAGAACAGATCAGCCGTAAACCTCCACGCTCGGCCGGAGCGCAGCACATCAGCTCTCTCTCTCTCTCCGGCCGTGTTTGCCCTACAGTACTGGGTGTGTCTGTCTGTGTGAGTGTGTGTGCGACTCATCTAACATAATGGGACGATATAAAACCACTGGTGTCTAATTGATATTTAAAGGTCCCGTTCTTCGTATTCCCATGTTTCAAACTTTAGTTGGTGTGTAATGTTGTTGTTGGAGTATACTGTAAATAATATCTATAATATTAATAATATATATAATCTATCTATAATATAAATAATATTGAATAAAGTTCAATGCCAAGCGAGTCAAATTGCCAATGCCAATTTTATTTAACAGAACTAGCCTACATCGAGCGGCCCGTTTGGACTACATCCCTCTACTTCCTTCTTTAATGACGTCAGTAGAACAGTTACTTGACTAACGTCCGCCGCCCACAGAAACGCTCCCTCAACTCCCTCAATATAACTCACTGTGTTTACTCAGCTCTTACGGTGATTTTCTGAAGTAAAACTGATGCTTCATCTTTTGTGTGATGTACAATAAACTTTATTAAACTCATCAGTGTATGTTTGATCATCATTCGGACCTGGTCCGAAACAGCAGACTTGTAGGCTATTAATCAATAATGGATACATACAAGCAGATGACATACGTTATAATAATAACCGTAATTAAACTACTAAACTATACCTGTTCCATCTCTATACAGCACTCTGACTCTGTAGGCATTAATGTCCGACTGGAAATGAACACCGTTACTGAGAGTTTCTGATATTATTATCATCAATCCGTGAGGTGAAATAGAGAGCCTAAGTCCCGCCCCTCCGCTTCCGACTCATGGGACCTTATTTCGTAAAAAATATGAATGGTAGTCAATGGCGGGAGACAACTTATCTTTTTATTCCGTCTGAACTGTGCCCTGAATTACACATATGATGTTTGTCAATTTAAAAGATAATTCTGAAAGTCAAAAACGTCGCAGTTTGTCATACAACAGAAGAGTAACTTTTAGTTTTATGTGAAAATCGCTCTGTGAACTACATCTCCCAGGAAGCGAAACGAGATCCGCTGCTCGTGTGTGTGCAGTCTGGTACAAAACACTCAGGTATGACGGCGTAACGTTACGATTATAACGTAAGACTGTAGAAACAATGACAGACGTTAGCCTCAGTAAAGTTAGCTTCATTCATTGAGAGAAAATGTGCGTCTTTGGGGTTTGTAGTCTTTGTAATTACGTATTTTCACAGTCTTATACCTCAACGGTTTTACATTAAACTACGACTTTCTTTACTTTAAAATGTATCTATTAATTTTACAAACATCATATGTGTAATTCAGGGCACAATTCATACGAGATCAAAATATTTGTTGTCTCTCGCCATTGACTACCATTCAATATTTTTCCGAAATAAGGTCCCATGGTGGTCGACCGGAAGGGGAGGGACTTAGGCTCTCTATTGTCCTGAGAGACTGAGCGTGAGCTCGTGAAGCTCCGCCCCCTGTGCCGGCAGCAGCAGCAGCTCATTTGCATTTAAAGGGCACTCACTCACACAGCGCGTTTTTCTGAGCCCCAAAAAATGACAATTTAAACATGCTGTACAAATGATCTGTTGGGTATTATGAGCTGAAAATTCACATACACATTCTGGGGACATCAGAGACTTTTTTTACATCTTGTGAAAAGGGGCATAATACGGGACCTTTAAAACCCTATTAGGATTTGGTTGTAAAATGACTGTAAAAATGTTAAAAAAAAAAAAAAAAAGTATCTGCTATACTGTTATAAAGATCTAATTGATTTTCCTCTTAGATTTTGTCCATAATAATATCAGCATCTGCAGCAAACTGCATATTTTTGCTCAGTTTGGAAATAAAACTGAGCTGTTTTTTTCTCCATGTTCTTAATATATGAGTTATCACTTTATTTTACAGTGTCCTTGTTACATATGTAATTATGCATAATTACATGCAAATAACCCTCAACCAAACCCTACCCTAACCCTCTAGTCAGCTCATGTAGTTCATTAATATTACTCAGTAATTAAATATATAATTACACTGTAACAATAACACCTTAAGATAAAGTGTCACCAAAAATACATTTTTCATGTCAGGCTTGACAGGGTTAAGGAAAAGTTCACTTCAAAGTGAAAATCCTGTCATCATTTACATCATTTATGTCCTCAAGTTGTTTTAAACCTCTATGAATATGAAGATGTTTTGAAGGTAACCAGATGTTGATGAGTCCAGAAGGGACCAGTCCAGCAAAGGGAGATATTTACTTTTACAGAACTCGCTTTTTAAGGACTACAACAAACGGCTGGTAGAACTACACGAGCTTCCTCCCGGGTTAGTGACGTCACCAACTCTAACGTTTACATAAACCCCGCCCCCAGGAACACAGTCCATGTTGAGAAGAGGAAGAGTGGTTGTATAAGAGCACATCTGTGAATCAGCTCAAACTTTAGCATCCTTCATTTCACATTCAATAGAAAGTCACTCAACAGTTCCTATATGAGCGATTTATAGATTATCATGCAAGAATATGCTAATTGAAGATAGTTAATTCCCCATCAGCAAAATAAATTCATCAACTAACCATTCAGAGACGTCCTATTGCTTTCTACATGTTGTCACTTCTTCTTAGTCTCTCCATCCTTGTCTGACTCCGGTTTAAACATAAAAGGCAGAACATGAGGTAATCAGAGCTGCTAACACACACCAGCTCTTGTAGCTCCGCCCCCTGTGCCGGGAGCAGCAGCTCATTTGCATTTAAAGGGCCAGACATGAAACAGTGTATTTTTGCTAACCCTCAAAATGTGACAATTTGAACATAATATATAAAAATATCTATGGGGTGTTTTGAGCTAAAACTTCACATTCACACTCAGAGATTTATTTGACATCTTGTGAAAATGGCATTATACCACACCTTTAAGCAATAAAACTGCGGGAACTTGGAAACTGTGGTTTGATGAAAAATAGGAAAATAAAGTGATTCCCCAACAGCCTGTTCTCACTCGGCTACTACCGTAACGTAAAGAGTCATTTCGTATTACTTCCTATGATAAGCAAACATAAACATCGCAGAAAGTGCTGGAATATTTCAGTTCTCATCTTGTTTTATTTCAGACCTTAATAAACACATCAATCTTACAAAACATTGAGTCAAACTAGTTCTGTAACTTTACAAAAGGAATATGCTACAACTTCTGTAAAATTGAATAAATAAAATATAACAAAATAAAATGTGCTCCTGTTTTACAGCTTTTCGATGATGTTCACGTCGCATAATCACGTCACTTCATACCATTCCCATGCCAACAGGTTACGTCACTTCATAACGTTCCCATGGCAACAGGTTACGTTACTTCATAACGTTACCATGGCAACAGGTTACGTTACTTCATAATGTTCCCATGGCAACAGTTTACGTCACTTAACGTTCCTATGGCAACAGGTTATGTCACTTCATAATGTTCCCGTGGCAACAGGTTATGTCACTTCATAATGTTCCCATGGCAACAGGTTACGTCACTTCATAACGTTCCCATGGCAACAGCCCATGGCAACAGGTTACGTCACTTCACAACGTTCCCATGGCGACAGCCCATGGCAACAGGTTACGTCACTTAACGTTCCAATGGCAACAGGTTATGTCACTTCATAACGTTCCCATGGCAACAGCCCATGGCAACAGGTTACGTCACTTCATAATGTTCCCATGGCAACAGCCCATGGCAACAGGTTACGTCACTTCATAACGTTCCCATAGCAACAGGTTACGTCACTTCATAATGTTCCCATGGCAACAGGTTATGTCACTTCATAACGTTCCCATGGCGACAGGGGGAAACGCGGCTCTTGTGTGAAGCAAACACAACATTTTTCAACTTTCCGCTAAGATATATGTGACTTTTTTGCAACGAAAATGCGAGGATCATGAAATCATGGAAAGTCCCGCATATTTTACGCGGAAAGATCGGCAATTTATGCGGCGAAAGTGCGGCCTGTCTGAAAAAACGTCCCCGTATAAATGCGGACTTTGGCTGATTATGCATTAAATCACGCGATCGCATAAAATTGTGAGTTTGTCAGTGAAGTGTGTGACGGCACCTGGTACAGCTCGATGCGCTGCTCGTTCCTCTTGGCGCTGGAGTTCGGCACTCGAAGGGCTCGAAACTCGGCCCGGAACAGGTTGGTGGCGTTCTTCTCCATGACGGACACGTTGAAGCGGAAGACCTTTGACGTTATGCCCTTGGGGCAGAAGGGAAGGTCATCTGCAACACAAGAGGTCAGAGGTCAGAGGTCACGGAAACACAGCTCTCGGCCCAAATACAGTCCGAACTGATCTCAATCGATCACTCGCAAATCTGTGAAATCCAGGAACTCAGTTTACACAAATACATTTCACATCATTTCATATCAACTGCTTTGATACACAGGTGAAACTCGAACAAGTAGAATATGGTGCAAAAGTTCATTTATTTCCGTAATTCAACTTAAAAGGTGAAAATAATATACTAAATAGACTCATTACATGCAAAGGGAGATATTTCAAGCCTTTATTTGGTATAATTTTGATGATTATGGATTACAGCTTATGGAAACCCCAAATTCAAAATTAAAATATTGTGAAAATGTTTTCAGTTGATTGACCGTCACATCGTTCTGTCACCATTCACCTTCTTTTATCTGAAGTTTGGGGGAAAAAACACTCAAGTGGAAATTTAGTTGGATGCTCATTTAGATTGCATCACACAGATTTATCCCTAGGAATAATTTTGATCAGATCTTAAAATATATGTGTATATATTGATGTCCCCCATCCCCACCAGTTTCAAAATCAAACCTGCTACGCCACTGCGTGTACATAAACTACGATGGAAACACTTTTACTGAATAAATCCCTGATGAGCAACAATCAGCTCATGTGACTTTGCCTCAGCGTCAGCTGTGATTGGACAACTGGAGTGCGACCTGAGCTTCTCTCGTGGGATGGAAACAATGCTTTATTTGCAAATGTTTTATGAGATATTCCAATGTTGTGCAGAGCTAGTCTCAGAGTGTAAAAAAACAACAACTAATAATAATAAGTTGGCAATATATGCTTATAATTAATGCAAATGGCAGCTATTCTGTCTCTCCACGTGCCTTTATGTCTCTCCGTGCCGCTCTCCTCTTGGAGACGGAAAGCCCCGCTCGGAGATTTGAAATTCTAATCAACTCTTTTGGTTTCCTTCTAGATGATCTCATTTTTCCTACTGCAATGTTGTAGGTGGATTTCACATTATGGCTGATTTCGCCAAGGCTCGAGTGAGGAGCTCATTTGTTCCATGAATGGATATACAGGGATTGTTGCAATGAATGAAGTCAAACGCAAAGATCAGTTTTGAGTCAGATATGGGTCAATAGAGTGACAACAAACACCTCAATAGTTTTCAGTTTAGTTAATAATGACCCTGTTGCAGTCTATCATTGCTTCAGCAGATTATTAGCAGGTCTCAGGCCAGGTCATGTGTTGCTCACTCCGCCAGGTGACATGATCCAGAGTTCCCGAGAAAGCCTTGGATGTAATCACGGCAGCGCTGATGAATGTCAGAGGAAAGTGGTAAACAGAGGAAATGAAGTTGAGTCGTTCATTTATACAGCGCTTTTAACTGTTTCACAGCAGCTTTACAGTGATAACAGGAGATTATAGGAACAGAGATTGTTTAAGCTTTACAGCAGATCTAGAATAAAGTTATTGTCCAGATAAAGTTAGTTTTGATTGATTCACTTCGGCAAAAAAAAAGATCATTAGTTATTAACTTAGAGGCCGCACTGTAAAAAAAAAATTTACAACATATTTTCTTTTGTCAAATCAACTTTATAATAGTTAAGATAACTTATTATTTTGAGTTTTTGATGATTAAATTAATCTCCTTCATTGCATTCACTCACTTTTTCCAGTTCAATGAACTTAAAATTGTAAGGCAACCAGGTTACTTACTTTTTTAAGTTAAACCAACAATATTTTTTTACAGTGTAACACGACACAGCTCCAACAGAAAACCTTTAATGTGTTAAGTGTCGCATGAAAATGCACATTTCGAACTTAAATGGTTGTAATTCAAGAATGCTTTGGAATGTAGACATAAGATTTGTTTTAAATTAGACATTTGGCATATTTTTGTAGAAGTGAAATAAATAAAGAAAGTGAAAAAGAAAAAAGTTATAGAAGTTTGAGTTTATGGAAATGTACAATACAAAAAAAAAATATTCATAATTTATATAAAATCTATGGGCTACTCTAAAACTACAGAAACATCAAAGCTAAAAATCTGAACAAGCTGTGTTTAAAATTTTAGGTTGATATCTCAAAAAATGAGCTTTCAGTGAGAGTGTGTGTGTGCGTAGTACCGGACGCTTCCACTAGGGCACAACCAGACTCCATTACTGCCTATATAACGGCGCCTCCATCTCCATATGTGTTTTGAGTGATCTGAACAATCATTTACACAATTTTCATACAATTTATGAAGTAGAGATCCTATTCAGATGTAGTATGGGAAGTTTGGCAGATTTTGATATGAATTCAACCTCTAAGAAACAAATACAAAGAACACGCATGTGCGAATATAATGGCAAACGTCCCAGTTGTGTTCTGGCCGTTCATTCACACGATAACGGTGTTCGGCAGTCGAGAACGCAAAGTGTGACGTGAACGTACGGAAGGGACTATAAATACTCGTCACTATACGCCAGTCTGAAGACCAGAGATGTGATTATGATCAGAGAGAGGAGCTTTATTAGATAGCATTAGTTATTAAACTGCTAGTGAGGTAATGAAGTCCAAAGTTTTTTTTATTACAATCACATTATATCAAAATCCATGGAAAAGTTGATGACATCTAATCAAGGAAGCATATTTTGAAGAAATGTCAACAGCAAACACATAAATATATTAAACAATAGGATAAAAACGACTTTTTTTGCCACAAATTTATGTATTATAGATGTATTAGTTAGTATGGAAAAGCTCATTTCTCTTTCTCTCTCCCACTCAAACACACACTCATTTGAAAGTTAATGTATCTAATCCAGGAAGCATATTTTGATGAAATGTCAAGTGTCTAAAAGTTGCTGTTCAACAGCCTGTAAAGTCCAGCTGGATAGTGCAGAGCTGTAAGGGTTAAATCATCCCCAGATTGAATGCAAATCAAAGCGCTTTCCTTCAGGTCCTGAAGCCTTTGTTCCACGTCCAGACGGCGAGTGTAAAGCGAGCTGAGGTCATGCAGTGAGTGCCCCGGGTGCAGTTATCAAGAGGTCGTGACCCGTGTGTCCTCCAGGGCCTATTCACACGGCGGATGAGGAATCCCTCAAATAAATGACAGACCAGCATCCCACTGTTCACACTATCCACCCTGAGACTAAAATAAGTGTGTGCTAAAGTCCCAGATGGTCTATTACACCCACATGCTCACTATAAAGGCTAAAATTACCCACAATCCACTGTGCTTTGGAGGAGGAACTACAAACACGAGTAAAAAGTGTTAAAAAAAACTACAAAACATGGTGGATGTGCGCGACCGACAGTGAGAGGTTTGAGTGACTAATCTAAGTTTAACCTGATAAATGTATTTTTAAAAATGTCATCCATGTTATATTTAATCTTTAATAATCTGGACTTTTCTAAAGATCTGTTCAGCCATTAACTTTTATGAATATGAGGAGACCCAGCAAAGTGCTTCTGCACTTCTGTCTGAAATCAAATTAGATTAAATGTGATTGACCGACTAGTTTCCCTTACGAAAAAGAAGTTTATTCAAGTGTGCCATTAGTATACTTCTTTTAAACTAAAAATAAGAAAGTATACTTTCAGTTTATTTTTCCTGTACTTCTCAGAAATATACTTCAAATTACACTTAAGTGTACTTGACTTATACTGAGAGAAAAGCAAGTATATTTGTCCTGTTCTTGGACTCAATCTTTTGATCCAGAAATACTTAAAAGTATAATTAAGTATTCAAAGTATACTTGTATAAGTATTACAGTAAAAAAGTAGACTACTAGTATACCCATAAATTCACTTGCAGTACACATGGGATATATTATTATGAACTAGTTGTGCACTTACTGTTACACTTATAGTACACTTAACTAAAAGTGGGCCAATTTAGTCCCAAGCGGTATTAAAATAGTACACTTACAAGTTTACTACTAGTACATAGTGACATTAGTGTACTTACTACATAATGTACTTAAAAATATACTTGAACATTACTTAAGTATACATAAAATGAACTCGAAATATACTTCTTTTTCGTAAGGGTTACTGTGCATGACGTGTCCCAAAGCTCGTCTACTCTTCTGCCACACACTCAAAAGTACGTTTTCTTCACTAAGAGAGTACATACTTTTAGGAAGTGGAACAAGTAGGCGAATTGAGACTCAGCAACGAGATGAGATAATGCAGAAAAAGCCTGACTCGAGCGCTCACGTGACCGGCGAATCAGAGATGGAAAAAAGTGCGTGTGTTTGTGTGTTTTGGCCAGCGAATGTGATCTCTGTTTTGCTTGGAAATGACATCACCTTCTTACTATTACACATATCAGCAGAAGTGGCGCTTTCTGCATCTCTGATCGCCGTCCATCGCTCTCTGGCACACACAGCCGTGATTTCCAACAGCCAGATAGTGTTAGCCCAGTCCCAGAGACTCACCATCTGCGGGCTGGGTGTTCCTCCCTCCACACACACACACACACACACAGCCTTTCTGGGAAGTTTTGTAAGTTTAAGGGGTTTGTTTGTAAGTTGCCAATCGAGGCTGGAACGCAGGTGCACGCCTTAATCTTGCTCTCGGTTAATGGACAAACAGGTCTGGAATGGCAAAAATGCTTTCCAGTGATGTCATTCAGTCATTTTTGGATGCAAACACACACACACACACGGAGGCGATAAGAAAGCACAACCTGCACGAACCCACTGGCCCCGGACGCGGGCTGCATGAAAAGACATTAGATTAGCTGATGTGAATGGAACGTGAATATACAATCCTCGACCCACCACATTCTCTCAGGCCGTACGGACTCTGAAAACTGCTGGAGGGAAAGGAAAGAAATCCCTCTGTCGCTCCAGCTCTTTCCCGCATGAGTGCTAGAATTCGTGTGTTTGTTCTGCGGGACGAGTCCTTATTTAACAGCCATAGAGCTGTGGGGGGATATTCCTTCAATATAACACTAATTCATACTTAACTAATGCACAGATAATCATGAGTTAATGTATAACTCATGAAGAACTAAACCATTAAAGCAACTAATAAAGAGTCTATATGATTAATAGATTAAGTAACACATGAATTGCTATTAATTCAATGCGTCACTGTGTATTAATTCCTTAATAACATATTTTATTAACTAATAGTGTAAATTAATGTGTTAATTACCACAATTAGTCAAAGCTATGCACTTCAACTTCCAGTTGTCTGCTTTAATTAATCATTAGCTAATGATTTGCAAAGGTATCATTATGTTATGACTTTACTTGATGGGGCACATCATTATTAAGTAGTCATTTAGTAATTTGCACATGAATTTGCACTAACAATGACGTAATTAATCATGTTAGTGTACTTGTCATATTATCTGGAAGTTGAAATACAAGGCTTTGGCTCATTCTGGTAATTAACATATTAATTAACACTATTAGTTATAAAATGAGTTATTATGGAATAATCTAGGTCAATCAGACGCTCTCAGAATAAGAACGTCCAACAACTACCAACAGCAAGCAGCAAATCACAGTTCACTGCTGTGACATCAACTAAGAACAAAAAGGGACAAGCTCTTCAACAGATTCTAAGTACATCAACACTAAAAATTGTGAAAACTGTGCCAATCAAGTGGGATTTTTGGTTAAATATTTCAGTCACAGTTCAGACTTCAGATCACCACACTAGCAGAACCTCCTCAGAACCAGCCGTTCTCAGATGAACATTCCACATGGAACCCGAGCTTTCCACATGGAACACGAACATTGAACCTTCCAAATGAGACCCGAACATTCCAAATGGAACCCGAACATTCCAAATAGGACCCAAACATTCCACATGGAACTCGAATATTCCAAATGGAACCCAAAAGTTCCAAGAAAACATCAGTTAGCGGTTCCTCCAGTAAACCCTTGTGAATAAATGCTCTTTATTGGGATCAATGGTTTTATGAAGAACCTTTAACATCACTTTCCAAACATAAAAGGTTCTTATAGTGGAAAAAAGAGGTTCTTTAGATTATTAAAAAATTTTTTTTTTAATTAAACTAGTGCTGACTAAAAAAAAACCTGGTTCTTCAATGGCATCACTACCCTTATAGAACTTTTATTTTTGATAGTAAGGGAAGGCCATAAAGCACTCGAAATATATTGAAGTTCATTTAACCTTTAGATGTTTTCCAGAGGGCTCCCCAAATGATCTTTGCATTTCAAGGATTATACAGTCAAACCAAAAATTATTCAGACACCAGATATAATTTTGTACATTTGTTTCAGGACACTAGTTCATTTATGTGAGGAGAGCAAAATAAAGTAAACTGTGACATATTTTACCCTAACATTCTTCATACAGTGTCTACCGGTGACATTAATAAACAAATATTATTCCTCCACTTTGAGCTGATGATGTTTTCTGTAACTGCTAATGCTCTTTTTACACACACACTGAACACCATGAAGCATTGCATGGACACTGTTTGAGCTAAACTGGTATTATCTAATAGTGTAGTTCAATTGAACAGATATTCAACATAATTCATGTGTGAGAGTCCAAAACCAGTCCAATATCCACTGATCTGAGAACTGAGTTCTGCTCATGTTTATCACCATTATAGCCAATAAACTGAGATAATGTGAGAAATGTGGAAGGTGTCTGAGTACACTTTGGTTTGACTGTATACTGTAGCACATGCTTTCAGACAAAGAGTAAAACAGGTCTGTTTCTGAGCTCACCATCACTTTTCCAGAATCACCTCTCCTCTTATCTTTCAACAGCTTCACAATCTAGTGCTAAACTAGGAAGACATTCACCCAACTGTGTCCTCAGATAATCTGGGGCCCATCTCGACTTGGACAGGACCCAGAGACACATGGAAAATTGTTGAAGATCCTTTTGCACTGACCCTCCGGTGAATGAACAGACCAGACAAACCGTGTGAAATCGTTTTCAGATGTCAACTTGGTCCATTTATTACCAGGACAGATTTAAACGGCCTGAAAAGCGATTAGTGCATGAGCGCCGCTATTATCACCTGTAACACTTTAATAGCATTAACCAAGAGAATCACATTACTGATCGGTTCAAGTTAGGGGTGCGACAATTCATCGTCCCACAATATATCGCAATACAAAAATGCTAAAATGTTGTGTCGTATAGTTCACCCAAAACTAACATTTCTGTGAGAATACTGAGAGTTTTAGTGTCAGTACTACATAAATAATGTTGAATATAATGTATAATAATGCAATGGGGGATATTGGTGTGTCTTGATAATGCCAGATGTCTGATGTTACCAGCAATTATTTTAAATATATCTAGTCAGTGACAAAGTATTTTCAGCTTCAAAATCATGAATATTGTCATTCTGGTGTCTCTATTGTCCTGTGCTTTGGGTTTCCAGGACCAAGTCCAAGAATATCCATTTCCACCAATTTAATACCAAATTCAACATTTTTTTTGTTAACCTCTTGGAGTATCGCAATAATATCCTATCATGAAGTCAGTATCGTGATATGAGGGTATCGTTACACCCCTAGTTAAAGTATTCAAACTTTGACTGCAATTCAAGTATTTCTTGGTGAACTCACTGTGAGAAAAGGTTTTGTAGGATAAATGGGTGTCCGAAATTCAATCATTTGTTTCATCAGTCACCTTGCTCTCTAGATATCTGTTATTATTGGCCATTACTTTTTAATCTGTTAGTCTCCAATGCCAGACCTAAATTGCACCTATACAGTAACTTACTGTTTTCAGGGGAGCCCTGGATCATGTTGAACTTGTGTATTTCTTTAGCGTAGTATTCGGTCTCGGTGTTGTCCTGTCCGCAGCTCTGATGCCGGTCTCGGCCAAACTCCTCCAGCAGTTCCCTAGTGCTGTTATACAGGGCCAGCACTTGATAGGGCACCTGACTAGGGCCCAGGGTCTGTGGCGGGCTGGTCAGCCTCAGTTTGCTGAGGATCTGACCCCGAATGGCCTCCACCCTCTTCTTAATGTGGTCGATGCCCACCGTGGTGCAGGTTGATAGAGAGAAACTCATGGTCACACTGTTTAAAAGCAGGAAAAACAGAAGCCCTCTGCCCAAATGCATGGTTTATTCTGTTCACTTGCCACAGTACCAGTTCACTTGTATAGCTTTAAAAGGATAATGAGAGTGAATCCCAGGTTGCCCTCTCTATGGGCTGGAGTTCAAGTGCTGAGCCTGTTTTCTCCAAGAGATCCCATGCTGCAACCTTATTATTCCATATAAACAGCGCACAATAATCCCATAACATCCTTAAACATCCATCATTGTCACTTTACAAGAAACCAGATTTTCAGCATAGCCTTATCCAATCGCATTTCCCCCTAAAACAAGCCCTGTGGAAGAGTTTCCCTGTGAGATGCTCGCGCTCGACTGACAGGATTATTTCGCTCTCGCGCGCTTTTATAGTCAGAGTCTCTGTGACGTGTGTCGATGGGCGGAGCCACGCTCGCTCACCCCGACGGCTCTCTTTCCCATTCATGCAATCACTTTATATAATAGCGAACGCATAGAAAATGTAATTGCACATTACGTAACTTAAAGCAATGGGAACGAATAGAATATTTTAGAAATGACTGTGTAATCCTAATTATCCAAACGCCAAATGTCCTTTTCTGGCGCTCACTCCAAAGGAATGGGTTTTTGTAAAGTCTGCGCGCCGCCTGCTGGATGTTTAATCTGAAACTACCAACATTCATTTCATAGAAGATGCTGCTTTATATTAGAAACATTCATTTGATTAAAACTCACAACAGTAATATTTTAAAATATTATTACAATTTACAACAGCTGTTTTCTATGAGAATATAAAGTGTCATTTTTCCTGTGAGTTTTCAGCATCATTACTCCAGTCTTCAGTGTCACATGATCCTTCATGAAATCACTCTAATACGAGGATCTGATGATCAAGAAACATTTCTCATTATTATCAGTTATAATGAGTTATAATCAGTTATATAAAACAGTTATTTACATTATTGTTTCAGGATTCTATGATGAATAGAAAGTTTAAAAGAAAGAAGGGATTCATTAAATTGATCAAAAGTTACATTAAAGACATTTATAATGTTACAAAAGATTCTATTTCACATAAATTCTGTTCTTTTGAACTTTCAATTCATTAAAGAATCCTGAAACTGTTTTCAACACTAATAATAGGCTAATCATAAATGTTTCTTGAGCATCAGATCCTCATATTAGAGTGATTTCTGAAGGATCATGTGACACTGAAGACTGGAGTAATGATGATAAATTCAGCTTTGATCACAGGAATATTAATATATTAAAAAATTTAAAGTGTCATAATATTTAACAATATTACTGTTTTGTTGTTGTTGTTTGTTTGTTTTTTCCATCAAATAAATGCAGCCTTGGTGAGCAGAAGAGACTTCTTTTAAAAACATTAAATATCTTATCAATCCGAAACCTTTGACTAGTAGTTTACTTATATGCTTACAGGTTACGATATGAATTGCAGTCAGTGTGTTGATAATAATCGTGCTGAAATTATGTCTGTACATTCAATGGGTGTATTTGAAGTCATTCATTATAGGCTAATATATCCATGTATGGTTTCACATAACTTTTTATTGAAGCAGATCTTTATTTGGAGCGTCATTAGCATCATTGTTTCAAATATAGCTGAACAAAGAAACACTATTTCCCTTTTAAGAGCTGGTGAACCTCATTCAGATTTCACTGTCCATACTTCAGTTTGCATGAAATAACTGATGTCAAGTTGCAGTGGGAACTTGCATATCAACATTTCTATATATGGCAAGATCCATGTGGCTTAAATCAACATACACAGGCAATGTCCTAAACAATATAAGACCCCAGATCGCTGGCACTGAACCAACATTTCCCTTAAAAAACAAAAATAAACAATAGATGATCAGTGGATGTCATCAGTGTCCCACGGACATGAAGAGGACAGCAAAGAAACACTCTCTATGCCACAATATCCCAGTGACAAAGAACTAAACTCCTGAACTTTTTGATACTTGTTTTTGCTGTAACTTTGTTTTTGCTCGACAGTCTTTTAATTTCTGTTTGTGTGTGTGTGTGTGTGTGTGTGTGTGTGTGTGTTAATTTGCTATTGACTCTAAAGTGACCTAGAGTTTTAGAAAATTTTAGTAAAATAAACTTGAGATAAAATCTTACCACTTGAAAATTCGTCAAGCTTCTCCGTTAAAACATGAATTTCTTGTTCTGGAAGATGATGTGATCATGGCCTTGATCAACCTTAAATTTCCATCTGTGATGGTAAAGACAAGTGATGTTGATGAAATGATGGTGAAGACATGTGATAGTGTTGAATTGATGGTGAAGTGATGGTGAAGACATGTAGGCCCAATGGTGTTGAAGTGATGGTGAAGTGATGGTGATGATACGTGATGGTTATGAAGTGATGGTGAAGACATGTGATGTTGATAAAGTGATGGTGATGAGATGTGGTTGTAATGACATGTGGTAATGACATGTGATGGTGATGACGTGACAGTGATGACATGTGATGTTGATGAAGTGATGGTGATGAGATGTGGTTGTAATGACATGTGGTAATGACATGTGATGGTGATGACGTGACAGTGATGACATGTGATGTTGATGAAGTGATGGTGATGAGATGTGGTTGTAATGACATGTGGTAATGACATGTGATGCAATGGCATGTGATGGTGATGACGATGAAGTGATGCTGAAGACATGTGGTGTTGAAGACATGTGATGTTGATGAAGTGATGGTGAAGACGTGATAGTGATGTGATGGTGATGACATGTGGTTGTAATGACATGTGATGGTGATGAAGTGATGGTGATGACATGTGATTGTAATGACATGTGATAGTGAAGACATGATGGTGATGTGATGGTGATGAAGTGATAGTGAAGAAATGATGGTGATGTGATGGTGATGAAGTGATAGTGAAGAAATGATGGTGATGTGATGGTGATGAAGTGATAGTGATTAGTGATGAAGGGATGATGAAGACATGATGGTGATGACGTGATGGTAATGGCATATTATTACTTTTTATTATACTTTTTAGGGGGGGGGGGGGGATAAACCTCCAAGCTGTACGCCAGAGAACAAAAATGTTCTGAGTTTGAGAAAAAAGTTTCTGAATTGAATAATAATAATAATAATAATAATAACAATCATGACATAAATATCACAAAATGAGTGACATTTCTGATCTCCAAACGTTATGCCCAGATGTGTCAGTTTCACTTGCATATACATATTTATAAATTATAAATAAATGTATGCAGTATATAAATATATTTATTTATTGTTTGTGTGTTAGTTTGTTTATTAGGATAAATCTTTCTTAAATGTTTGCGGGTAATAACATTATTGGGGAAAGTGACTGATCACTATAAAAAAGTGATATTCGTATATGAAGATAAAGACTTCATAAAGTTCAGTAAATGTTAAAACTTTCCCTTATATTTTTTAATACTCTTATACATGTATTACCGTCAGAAGTCCTCAAGTCCAAATAGACATATTCTGACACATACGTTTTTTGTCATTTAAAACCCCTCAGTTACATAAACCATGACAGTGGTGATACCATGGTACACCGATTGTATTTGATTTCAAGGCACTTTAATATATATTAATGACACTTAATTATTACAGGTTTTTATTTTTTATGTATGATAATACTTTAAAGAATACTATATGGCACATGCCTAGAACATGGTAAAGTGCATGGTAACTAATTATAGCATCGATTTACTGTTTATCCGTTGATTTTATTTCATTTTTTTATATTATTTTTTTTTGTGTGTACTTTTTTACAATCACATTAATCACTGTAAATACGTAAGAAAGAATTTGTCTTGGATATAATTATTTTGCCCTTAAATTCATAAAGTGACAGGATTCATAGACATATACACAGTATATACAGTGTATGTCTATGGACAGGATTCAGCGGTGGCGTGACGTCACTTCCTGTACTCGGCTCCGTTAGAAATGGACGACAGTCTTCAGCTGGCAGACGGTGGATCATCTAAAAATGTGAGTTGAATTCATATTACACTGTTTTTAGAGATTCGTGACCAGATGGACAGTTGTGGAGACATGGAGCAGCTTGCAGAAAGGCTCACAGTAGTCTTTCTTTCACGCCGCGTTTCAAAACTGCAGGACATTAAGTTAAGTTAGGGTTTTGTGGGCTAAACAGCCGATACCCTGTCAAATGAACTAACGTTAGTCACGCAGATTCCTCGTCAGGACTAACATGAGTTATTAGTGTTGTTTGTGTGTTTAAGGGAACGCGTACTTTGCTTTAGTTTCTCGTTCATCGCGTACAAACAGAGTTGGCGCGTCCCTCTTGTTGCCATAGTAACAGTAATGGCGTCTGTGGACCACATGACTCTCTCACGCTGAACATCAAAATAAATCTAATAAAAAAAACACCAAATCATTATTTTTTATTATGTAACTGATAAAACATTACAGAAAGCACATCTCGGTGTTAAAATGGACCTAATTTTCTTCTAGCAGATTGTAATTTTTTTCTAATGTCTGTTAATGTTGGGATGGATTATTCCAGAAGCCAGCTGTTGATTGACAGGTGTGCTGCTCAGAGGTTATGATTGACAGGTGTTCTGCTCATGTTGAATAGGCGGCTCGGTCAGGCAGAAGAGCTCGTCAGGCTGCGGAGATGATGAACACTGAAGACTCTCGTCAGAGGAAATCCTCTTCATCGCTCAGTTCTGTCACAGAGGTCAGTCTGCATCAAAACAACCATATTTTACTGAATTTATGAATATTAACCAAAGAGAAAAACTTTTCGTTTGAGGAAGTCATGATTATTTAAGACTTGACTAAAGGAAAAAGGGTAACACTTTAGAATACGGTTCCTTCGTTAATGAATAACTACACAAGAACTAATGAGTAACACAATATTAACAATCTAGTAACTATTATTAACTAACAAGAAACTCTGATTAACGAACTAGTAAGTAATAGCGCACAGACGTAAGTGGTAGTTCACTATTAAGTAATCAATAACTACTATTTTTTTAATACTTCCCAGATAACTACTGAAAAAGTTATTAACAATCTAGTAACTACTATTAACTAAAATAAATTCTTATTAACGAATTAGTAAGTAATAGCTCACAGATGAAAGTGTTACTAGATACTTCTGTGGGAATTACTAATTATTTGGATTCGTATTATAAAGTGAAGATCATTGAAACTAACTAGTAATTACTCAAGTGTTACTAAAGACATTTTCTAAAAGTATACTAAAGTTCACCAAAAATCTCAAACGGTTGCACAAATCATGACTAGATCATGTAGTAACACTTGAGTAATTACTAATACTAGTTAGTTCCAATGAT